GTGAACTTGGCTGCATGCGTTTCGTGTGCCTTGACTTGAGGCTTACTGCCGCGCGGTCATTTATTTACAAGTCGTCTTTGATTATTTCAGTGTTTTCAGCGGGATGCAGCTCAAGAGCGATTCTGACGCCGACACTGAAGCTGCTAACAATACCGACTTTTCTACTGGTGACAACTTCCTCAGACAGTTGCGAAAATTGGAAAACGATTGCCTCCGCCTGGAAGACAAACTGAAGAACAGAGAACAATTTATTGGTCAGTCCACTAACTACACCCAATTTTTATGGCTGGACCCTTTGGAAAATTGCTGCTACTGTTAAACTGGAGGGATAAAAATTTACATTAGAAGTGCGTTTCTGTCATTGGTGCTTTCTCTTTCAGAATCACTCAAGACAGAAAATGAGGAGATTCCGAAGTTGCGTGAGAAGTTGAAGAAAGTCACATCGACTGCTGACCATTACAAACATCGATGTCATGAACGGAGAGCTATCCTCTCCTCCACACTCCAACAGCTGGAGTCTCAGTCCTGTATCCTGGAGACCACGGTGCAGGCACTACGTAGTGGGGCACGCAAGCTAAAGCGTGATCTCTACAGCAACGAGTCGTCTTCGTCTTCCAGGGGTGATTCAAGGCGCCCGGAGTCGCGAACAAGCAGCGTCGCCCCGGCTTCCAACCCGCCTACACCCACACTATCGTCTGCACACGAGAAGACATCTGGGTCACATCACTCTAACCCGCCTGCATCTGAAGTAAGTATGAGTGAGCGGAAGGATTTAATCCACCCCGAGAGTGAAAAACTTACCGATTAGCCTGTTTCGACAGGCCTTGGCGACCTGTTGATTTGCTGACAGTGCAGTATGTAAAGATTTAGCAAGTGCACTGCTGGGATTCGTTCGTCCCGGCGTTTAAAGCACCTTCTACCCGGTGCAATTTTGAAGATTGCGTAAACAGCAGAATTTATTGGATCCCTAAATTTCGAGAGTGCTCATCAGCTGCTTCCGCTCGTTGCATAAAGTGAATAACGCGAGAGAATATAGAAAATAGAGTTCGTACAGAAAAATCGATGCAAACAGCAAGGTCATAGAAAATGGCCAGGAAGACTAATCAATAATATAAGTAAGTTAAAACACTGTGGGAAGCAAAAGCGGAG